CTGGCTCAGCGGATAGCGGATGAGCGAGCTGAAATTGATGAGTACTATGCATAAGAGGAAATTATAAACTCAGCTGAGAGTATGGCATCCGCTGTGTGAACGTTAAGTGCCGGTAGTGGAATACATATCTATATGTATATGGAAAATGGAAACTAGTATGTATTGTTTCATGATCGCAGCTCGGCTTTGTGCTGCACCAATACAGACCACTAAATTAAGCGCAAAAGCGTCGGTTAAGCATCCGTTTATCCATTTAACGTCGTACGATTTGTCAACACTGGCAGCAGAAATGTTTACGTTTGCTAATGATGTGCATATGTATGTATGTAGTATGTAGGTATGTGTCTGTGTCAGTGGGAGGAAACAGGAAAGAGCGCGTACGAGTATGTGGCGGCTTTTGACTCTTTACCCATTTACCTTTTCCGGATTTAAGGTATTAAAATGCTTCCGTTGGATTATTCTGACGAATGTAGATATGTATGTATGTAGATAAGTATGTGAGTATTTTGGGTTTATGAAGTGTTGAAAGTGGATTTCTCAATTGCTTAATTGAATATGGTGGTTTCGGTGAAATTGGAAAATTGAACTTTCCAGCCGAGTTCTACAATGGTGTACTATGCACCTAATGTCGTTAAAGCGCCGACACATCCGCCAAGCGGAGTTTTATTTTAGCTCATTCACTGGGTTCATATTATTTCTTGTTAAGAAAGGAAGTGACTTGCCTAAATTGTATGCAGCTTATATGTATGCATAGTCGTACATATGTACATATTTCAAGTGGATATGCTTGAGATTCGTCTATGTTTTTTGGTTTGCTTTCGAGTGTTCTGTTTTATAAAGTAAGCGTTCAAATGAAGTGCAGTATTTATATTCCTTTTCCTCGATTCCAATAATATTGTCTTTTTTTTGTATGTTTCTAATTACAGTGGAGAATAAATGAATGGCTCTAAGTTTGAAGGCAGGCGTCGTAGGACATATTTGCTATCTTGAACTGAGGCTGGATAAACATTTTCTGCTTCCCGATCACTGCCATGTATATCAAGCGGATGTTTTGCTCATCCAGTAGGACAGTACTGAGCATCGTTCAAAGATCTACAGATATGAAACAAGTCCCTTTATTTTTATTTACAGTCAGACTTCGATGCAACTTTTATTTGGCAATGAAAGGGATAGGTGTAGATGGTGTACACAGTACAAAAGGGATCACACAAACCTAGTACTCAGTCGAAGAACCGTGAAACGTAAATCGGTGCACTTGAGTTTTAACAAGTAATTTTTAGCAAAAAAAAAAAACCAACTTCAACTCCAATATGAAAAAAATATATATATACATCTCATGATCCACTTATCGGATCTTAACCAGAATTATCGAAATCGCATTGCAATTCCCATGGGCAAATGGCCCACGGTGTTTTAGGCTGAAATAGTCGCAATTTTAAACTGCGAAAGATTAAACCATTGACACGCTACAAATTTTGGCATCCAAAAACATACCAGGCTCTTCGGCCACTATTTTAGAAAATCGAAATGACATCAGGCTACTTTCTGGGTACCTGACTGGTCACATCCGATTGCGATTCCACTTGCACCGAATAGGTGTAACCACAGAGTCGGAATGCCGGCTCTGCCTTGGCAGCAGAGCTGATTCTAAGTTCCTGTCCGGCTATGGCCAGACAAAGATTTATCCATTTAAAAGCTTCAATGGGCGAACCCTTTGTTATAAGAAAGAAAGAAGAAGATCTTTCGCCGCACTGGGTTAGGGACTCCCTCTCCAGCGGGGTCTCTTGTTCTGTTACACCTAAGAACCAACT